ATTCGCAGCGATACGATAACGGGAAATTCTTGGTATAATAGCAAAAGCTAAGTTGTTACTCGTAGCAAATAGCTATCAGGAGTCCGGCAATTTGCGAGAAATTCTCAGGAAAATCACAGCATAAGGGTTGACTGCTGTCAAGTATCGTATTGGCAGCCAGTCTCTTGCAGTTGCCTACGGGTATCCGTTCCATGATAAACAAAACTCACTTAATTTAAAATTATCTGTGACACTGATAAAAGTATATCAATTATAACAAATACTACGAGTATCAATTGTTGTGACTGCTTCAGTGTTTTAACATCACTTTGCTATGCTTGTATTTCGACATTAATTTCGTCCAAAACTTACACTGACTTGGCAAACTTGAGCCACAGGTCACGTGGTCCCAATCTCTTCTTAGCAACCCGATAATTTGACAACTTCAAAGTATCATTTAGACACTCTTGTCACGGAACAGATGTTACTTGTGGCACTAGTGGTAAATAAATCAGCACCCGCCTAAAACCTTGAGTGAGTTGCTCGTTAAGGCTCGCCCCACGCAGGGTGCGCCAGAAACTTAGTCACGGCCTAACTTCGGCTATTAGTTTGCAGCATAGAAGATATAATAAACAGGTCTTTGCGTGGTTTCTCTTATTCCCAACTTTATTAATTTGTGTAATTCGTACTAGTTCTAGACACAAATCTAGCAAGCTTGAACAACTAAGCAGTTCTTGAACGATGGTGATCTGGACGACCTAGGAGAGAGCCTCGAATTTTGTTCTGATCTAGACGAATGATTCAGCCATGAAGCGCTGGTTTGCAATAGGTACTATTTTTTTAGAGAAATTGTAAAATACGTTTAATTTTTTCCGAATTTCATTTTCTTTTATTTTGACTCAAAATCCACAGCGCTCAAAGTAGGTAAATAATAATAAATTACTGCCCCTGCAGTATGGCACGGGAGCCGCCAGGCCAGGTGACCGTCAACAGAGATAAAAAGCGCCTCATTTCAAATATGATATCCCATTTTACAGTATTATGGTTTTAGTAATATATTGTAGCCTAAATAACTATCTAAACAAAATATTTTTTGGTCTCGAACATGCTACGATAAGCTTTTTGCGTTCGTATTCATATGACACACGTTTTATCTATGCCACTGGGCTTTCAAAGCGGGTGACTGCTTTGTTTGTTTTAATGGTACCCTTAAAAGATGTTGACACAAAAAGATAAATTACATTTTCATAGAACACAATATATTCATCTTTGATTTGATAATACCCGTTTATCCAAGGAATTAACTTGTTCAATGCGGAGAGGCCGTCGACTTCTGAGAATGGTGTTAGAATAATTTCTTGAAGCTTGTTGACGGAGCGTACTTCCTTTTGTTCTGTGCTGTTATAAATGCCAGACAATTAAACTAATTGTGCAAAAAGGAATTCTGGGTGCAATACATAGTTATTGAGGGTAGGTGGATACCACGGGCCGGCAGTTATTCCGGAAGGGGGGTCCCCAAGAATGTTTACGGCATGCGCCCCAAGCTATATAAAATCGTGGCAACCGGGCGCAGCGTGTCGAAATGTCTCGCCAGCCTTCCTACCTTTGTACAGTCAACGGCACATCAAACTGCATATTTTGTTGTAAAATCAAACTTATTGCGACTGTGTAAGATACAAAAGTGTATAAGTATAATGTGTTGTCGTTTGTATATCTCAGTACAAAACTTATTGCACTCGATTGTGTAGTGGTCGCGAAAGTAATGCCTTAAGACAGCAAAGAACACGTAATAAAGTTTCATATTGTAGATACAATTTTCAAATTTAAGGAAATATTTTAATGTAAACATCGGTGGCTTGGTGATGCAAATTGTCTAACAGCGTTAACGCAAACGTGAATGACGCGAACATCGTCAACCAATTGCAGGAATTGACAATGCGGTGGGCTGCATTTTTGTCGCAAAGCTCAACAACCATGATAGGACCATTGCGAAGACTGCCAATATTGATCGATGTATCGTGATGAAAGTCGTAGGTACTATCGGCAACAGTGTGTGTTAAGAGCGTTTACGCCGTTTGGCGCAAAAACAGTACTTTTTCAACTCGTTACAATCATTAACCAGTAATACTACAAATATGTTATAGGCATAAATAGTTAGGCAATTTCGTCGTCTAAATAGTTAATTGAGAAAATATTGCGATTAGTTTAGTATTTAAGAATTCTATCAAGATAAGTCCACACAGGTTTTGTAAATTTCCACTTTAGCGTCAGTTTACAAGCTGAAATTTTTATAAAAATACTGTGAAAACGATTTAACAAACATTTATATCCTATAGCATAGATCCTTAGGCAAATAGTTATCTGAGAAAATTTTTAGATTTAAGCATTTTACAATAAGAAATCACAAATTAAAAGAACGTGAAATACCCAAAAATCAAAGTGATTTTTTCACCAATATTCTTCCTTTATTCAACATAAAAATAGCTTAATATAATAAAACAACATCTTCTTTAAAATATTTACTTTGAAACGATATTTAATTCATTGTTATTGTTTTGCTATAAACATTTGAAAACTATTAAAAAACGCCGCGCGCGAATCATTTCCAATGATGCCCCTGAAACGCCGCGCTTCGCGTAAACGCTCTTAACTGCCCATTGCCAGTCATGTCATCTCGTTCTATCGCAAAGAATCACCATTTGATGAGAGCGAGAGCAAAAACGAAAATGGATGGTTAACAATGCGGCCGTGTGTACGTTAGTTTTATGCTCGTTTTCACCATCAATCCCTAATTTTTAAGTGACCCCTATGTAAACAATATTCCTGTTATTCGTTACCATAGATCCTTGAAAATTAGGAATTGATGGTGAAAACGGGCATTAGAGTTTTAAATCAATTTTATTAAAAGCTAAGGGGGTAAAGTATGACGTCAAAGCTGCGGAGCATAACGATGCGAGCATTCATAGTCAAGGTAAGTATACCGTGCGAGCAACTGGTATACCATCCTTTTGCCTTGCAGGCATTCCTTGTCCGCCTCGCTCTCGTGACCCACACGTCTCTTAGTATAAACAAAGACTACTCGGCTAAGCCCTTTTCCAAACTACGCTTTGAGGCTAGGGAAACGAAGTTAACCTAACATTGTAAAATCACGATATCTGTCTAACATATCTACATACGTATATAGCGAGGTTCCACGGCTATGGTTCTTCCGTCCGTAGACGGAAACCTAACGCTGCAAACAAGCACTTGGTTGACTTAGAAGGGATTAATGCCTCTCGGGTGAATCTTCAATCCATATCCTTGTTAAATAGATATACGACAAGGGGTGTAATCTTTTCTATATCGCCTTTTCCCTGCAGTAAAGGAATTCCAACGACGATCCTATTATTTTGGTTTAGATTTGATTCCGATTGTTTTATTGTAGTGTGTTTTTAATTATGCAAATAATATCCTTTTAAATATTTATTGATTAATGGTGCTCATAATTAGATTCGGTTAAAAAGTATTGATTTTAAAATGGTGTTAGATATACACATTGGTTTTGGTCACTAATATAATCAAATTCTGATAATGTAGAGAGAGGCAAATGACTTCCTAAAGCCGTAAAAACAGTTTTCTCATCACCATCAGGCCTTATCCCTTGCAGGAGAACCATCCTCTTTATTCTACCAGGGAGGAGAATTTACACTCGCAACGCTCTTGCCGTACGGGTTGGAGAGGAGACTAATTGGAAAATCCAAGCAAAATGACATGATATAATTCCGATGACGAAATATTGAAGCAAAATAAAATGGCGGAAAAGCTTTTATTGCCTTGTTTTAAATTAAATATTATCTACGTTATAATGTACGTACTGTAATATCTGATCTGTGAGTTACTAACTTCCTCCTAGCTCATCCCCCTATTATGCCCGTTTTAACAACCTCTGGCTAGTATTCACATTATGTAGTTCATAACTTCCTATAATTTACATGTTACGTAATAAAATGTACATGATACTCGTAGATCGAAAATTGTATTGTCCAGAAAAAATCGAACATTCTACGTGTAAAAGAATTCAAATGAAGTTTTCATCACAAACGTGTGAATCAATTGAAAATGTTCGGCGACGTAATTATAAATTCCTTTATTCTGTATTCTGAAATTGTCAACAGATTCCGATGATGTAGTTTTTTATTTATTAAGATTGTAAAGCCTCAGGTCCTCAGGCTTTATAATAATATTTCGTTGCTTTCTATTTGGGCAAAATGCAGCCATGGGTCTTGTTTTGGATTGCTTATTGCATGCAACGTGCATAAAACAGAATTACTCGTAAGTATGAAAGCATTAATGTTTCAGATTTCGAATGTTTTCCTTTTAGAAGATAGATAGGTATCGCATGGAGCTAATGATGGGCATCCTGAGACTATCTTCAATTTGATTTTTTATTAGAACTACATTTAAAAACAATTTGATCAATAAACATTTGCATTTCAAAAGTTCAAGAAACACTTCTGCTGACAAAATGCAGTCTCAGAATCTAAGAGAAATTGTACTTTTAAACATTCTAGAAGATTACACTGCTAAAGTTGTTCCGTGAGGGGCAAAATGTAAAAAATAACCTGAGTTGGGTGCTACGAGACCTGTCCTCGGTGACTTGCCATTTTTACCACCCAGAGAGGCAGTTTTGTAAGGTCAGCCAGTTTAATCATTCAGCCTTGATTGTCACAACTTTGTGGTGTTACATCACCTAATTATTTTACAATGAGGGTTTTCGCGATTGAAAAATCCGCCAGATGGCGGGACGTGCATGTGGGGTCTGACTGCTGCGTGATTGGTGGATTTTGACATATCTGTCAATGTCATGTCAAAAGTATTGCTATCTGGCGGATTTTTCAATCGCGAAAACCCTCATTTGGGCAGATTTTTATTTTGAATGTAATATTTTGGTGAAGAAGCTGTTCTATCAACTATTTCTGATGTGCAGCACATCACACAGGCAGTAATCCTCGTCTGCATTTTACCGGAACTATGATCTGAAATCAATAAAATGTCACCTCAGAGTTCGGGTTAGGCCACATATCATTTTGCCTTTCAAATATTAACACCTGAGGCAGCATACTCGACTTTTCCTTAAGTACTGTGTCTGAAAAGAAACAGAAAAATAAATAAATAGGTATATGTAATGTAATAAGAATCGACTTGTTCTCAAGATTTTGTATTACTGCGATTGTCTGAAGTACAGTGTATCATTATTATGATCTAGACTTGCAAGTAGACTCACAAGGTATTTAAAGAAGAAGTTGACGATTAAAGTGCTAATGCAATTATCCATTCAGATACAAATGACGAGATATAAAATCGTCTAATACAGAATCTTGTCATCTGGTAAATCAATATTTTGTAATATTCAAAGTATACAGGAATATTAGGCCACGAAAGCAACTCATAAGGGGTATTAGTTAATTTGTTGAAAAGCAAAATCTTGTTAATCTAAATATACAATAGAGGGAGAAACTGACTGACTTAGTGACAGATCAACGCACAGCCTAAACGGCTACACGTAGGCACTTCAAATTTGGAAGGGACGTAGCTTAGGTACCGTAGAGATTCACTAAGAAAGGTATTCCCGAAATTCCTACGGGAACGGGAATTAGCAGGAAAATCCTTTAGTTAGAAAAATCTAAACCGCTTAAGTTAGACGCTTGAAATTTGGCATGCAGGTACCTTAGTAAATTTAAAGCTTAGTTACAACAGGATATAGCAAAACTCCCACGGGAACGGGAGTTAGCGGAAAAAAACATTTGTATGAAAAAATCTAAACCGCGTAAGATAGACGCTTGAAATTTGGCATGCAGGTACCTTAGTAAACTGAAAGCTTAGTTACAACAGGATATAGCAAAACTCCCACGGGAACGGGAGTTAGCGGGAAAAAACATTTGTATGAAAAAATCTAAACCGCGTAAGATAGATGAAGGGGGTAAAACGGGATCTACGCGTACGAAGTCGCGGGCGGCCGCTAGTACATTATAATATCTTGTTAACAATATCCAGTTTGAAGCATATTAATCAACTCAGGAAAAGACGGTTATTCCCAGTCGCTCCCACCGGCATCGCCCCCACTGGAGGTAACTGGGAATTCGTAAAAAAGAATGTCCCAGTTGCCCCCGGTGCCTCCATTGAAGAGGCTACTGGGAGTATAATTTTGAAACGTCCCAGACTACAACCCTATCCTACTTGAGACGCCGTTCTCTCCTCGATGTCGTGCGACACGGTCGAGCGTTTGCATCGATACAATCGCGCTGCTGTGTAGAGTGTTAGTAGTAGCGCGTTCTCATCGCTTCTATAGTGTAGAATTAAGTATGAAAGTATGAACATTATTTTTTACGAATTCCCAGTTGCCCCCAGTGTGCAGTGGGGTCGATGCCGGTGGGGGTGACTGGGAATAACCGGGAAAGGAGAAGCCTTTGTAGTGATCATAAGATCTTAGCAAAAGTATCGTTGAAGAATGCGACAGGCCGCTTCTTTTATCTAGAATATCCAGAGCATGAAGAATTCGCTACAGTTTTTTAACCGAAATCTAAGCGAGCGAATTTGCAGGCAAAATGCCAGGTATTTTTGTTTAATTGACCTCCACTGTGCGCCCTGAGGAAGTATGAAATTTAAATAAGATGTAAGTGCTCATAATACTCCTGGACTTAATATGATTCCAGAGAGTTAAAACAACTTCAGTGTGGCGACTGCTTTAAGTTGGTTCTGCGAAAACTTGACATACTTTTGTTGAAGGAAAAGCAAAAAAGGCAAAAGTTGGCATTACAAACAACAATAACGGACGAAAACGTTATTTGCAGGCTATGTTTGCTGGTATATCTCAACATTGAGTCAACATTCGCTGAGCTCTCTGTATAGATATAGATAGGTATTTCTAACTTGTTTGTAATGAGAAAAGTTTGAAAGGAAAATATGGAATACTTACAATATTTGGAAGAAATAAAAAACAAATACGATACACATGAAAAGTAGAAACAATTCAATTCATTTCTTTATTTCAAATGTGCTTAGTATTTTCGGTAAAACATGATTATAAATACACATCATGTTTTATCGAAAGTCGTCAAAGTATTTTTGTCACTAACGATATGGATTTTATGTTTGCTTTAGGAAATGATCTACACTCGCGAGCAAAACTATGGAATCAGTTACATGAAGTTGTTTCCACGCGAACTTGTGTACTAACGAATTTGTTAGTAACAAAAAAGTGGCAGCATTTTAAAGATTAAACTTTTATCTTTAAATTGATACCAAATTCATTTAAATCACACCAGTATTTAAAAAGATATCCCGGCTGATGTGAAGAAGTAACGAAAAAGACATGTATGAACTGTTTGATACGTCGCGAGTTGCGGCCTATTCACNTAGTGCAACGATTTGTGCTACTTCTCAAGGTGTAGAATCCCAGGTAAAGTGTCAAAAGAAGCGGAGATGTGTATGAATCAACGTGTGAAAGCAAAAATCCGAAAACGCGTGCTTTTATAGGGGGTAAATAGGCCGCAACTCGCGACGTATCAAACAGTTCATACATGTCTTTTTCGTTACTTCTTCACATCAGCCGGGATATCTTTTTAAATACTGGTGTGATTTAAATAAACTTGGTATCAATTTAAAGATAAAAGTTTAATCTTTAAAATGGTGCCACTTTTTTTGTTCCTAACAAATGCGTTAGTACACAAGATCGCGTGGAAATAACTTCATGTAAGTGATTCCATACTTTTGCTCGCGAGTGTAGTAGTAATAAATCACTAAAAAACTCATAAGCACTTTTTTTGGAGAACTGGGTTTTAAATGGAAATTGCAAATGTTTCACATAATTTTGATATAATTTTCAAGTAGAAAAAGAAATGATTATACGTAGGTATTGTAAAATGTCAAAGTCTTAATCATTTCCGAAAAAAAAGTTGTAGTTGTGTGCACAACTAGCTTTCTCAGAGAGATTTTAGTGAAACGCAGGCTTTGAGAATGAAATTCGCGTTGAGCAAGTTAATCGGTTACAATCTATGGTTACATTCTGATAAAATTTTGGTCATCCATTAACTGAAAAATTTCGAGTCTTTCGTTTTAAGAACTGTCAAAAACAACTAATCAATTTTAAATCTTGGTTGGTATTCTCGGCAACCATTAATGACTTTTGTCTATGTCTTTTTTCCATCTTTTATCTTGTCCTTGGGAGAAGACAATAGAATCTTAAACATAAATAAATAAACACAATATTATATTAAAATGTGGTACACCGCCACACCGTATTAGCTCTAAAGTTTTAGTTTCTTTATTCCCCGTGTTCTTCATTCCATTCCAAAGCATCTTAATTCAGCTTAAAAAGCCGTTTGCCAATTCACCTGAAACTACAGAAATACTTATTGAATGGCGCATTCAACAATATTGGTATTTTGTATTTTGAATTTTAATGTCACTGAAATCGTAGCATTTATAATCGACTTTCCTCGCTCCAAACTACTTGCTTGTCAAAGGCCAGAGAGCTCAATGGAAGACTAAACGCCTTAACAACCACAGTGAATATTGATTTCGACATGTCTCAGTAACAAGCCTTTAGACGTTTAAACAAAAACCCTGCCGTTAGGACAGAGGTGGTTAAAATCGAATAATATTTTCTAAGGAAGAAGAAGAAGCACGGCTTACCTTAGTTTACTAAAAAGATAACAAATATACAAAATGAGTATACAAAATAAAGATAGTAATACTGTGTTACTAATATTATTATCTGTATTTTGTAGACTTATCATACATTGAAATAAATTCAATGAAAAGCTGTGTACATACATATAATGATGACTCTACCGTTTATCATCGAACAAGAAACAAAAACTTAAAATTACTTAATATCTAAACTTTAGAAATTAATTATAATAAATATAATTATGTTACAAAACCCAGCTGGACAGGTTCAAAAGAAGCTGCTAGGCTATCGGAAACAGCCCTACAGCTGACGGCTAGTCGTCTCAGAGTTGAGCCAACGGCAATGGGTCGAATGCCACCATCCTTTTTTTTAAGGGCACAGAGACTGGCTCCGTATAAAATATTTATGAATTGTGGGTTGACGCCACCAGATATCATCAAATTTGTCAGTGCAACTAACTCCTTCAGGAGGATAGTACCGGCTTCGCCAGAGTTAGCACTTACTAGGTCTTTGAGATTCTGTGGAGTAAGGCCATCCAAGCCGCCCGCAGAACCACTCGCAAAGGAATTGATTGCACCCCATAACGCTTCTGGTGTCGTCTGGAGGCACAACTGTGTAGGATCTGGTTGATCCGGGTATACTGTGGTTGCTGAAAGTGGATGTTTGCTTTTAAGGGCCGAGAGGGTATCAGGGGTGTTAGGGGCTATAAGATCGTCGGAGAACAAAATACGCGTAGCACCTTTGATGTCGCCGTCACTGATTTTTGATTCTACATGTTTTATAAAACTTTCACTATCAGAAGAACGGGATCTAGATATGGAAATGATATCAGAGGCTTGCCATTACAAAATATTTACAAAATTAAAAATATATCACCCCCAGCGCCGCAGTCGGGAATGGTGGCTAAAAGGCTGGCAGCATTGCCACATTGCATGGCCAGGCTTATTCGTTGACCAAAATAACTGCCAGTCTTTATCTCGTCGTCACCTCTGTGAGTCTCTTTGCCAGTTCCTTATAAAAGGACCCCAAGTTATCTCTAATTATTATTATGTTTTGTAAGGTCAGCCAGCAATCCTGACCAACATCACGAATCCGGACCAGCGTCCACTTACGCGCCATCTGAGGTCCTCCTCTCGACCCCTGAAGTGAATGTAGACTTCCTCCAGCTGCAACCTCTGTTGTAGGGCTGCTCTGCGGACTCCACTACGTCCTCCCATGTCACAGATCCTGACGTGCGCTTGACTAAGCCGGGCGCCGTCCGAGATCTTCTCTTTCCCTGAGCATTCACTCATATATTGACTGCACTGATATAACTGTGATTGAAGTATCACTACAATGAAACATCTCTTGAGGTCAACTGATAAGACTGCCTTATAAATTCCGCCGGTCCTTTTGTGAATTTTTATTTTCTTGTTTTTTGCGTTTGCAATAACATGATTACCTATCTATCTGTAATAATTTCAACAGAAATAAGTTGTTTTAAAATAATTATTTCAATAAAGTATTTGTAAGACGAAAACTCAAACCTTTATTATATTTTCTCGATCGTTTTATTAGTATTGAAATCTTTCTTGTCTTTGGAAAGTAAGTGTGCAGCACTTACTTTCCAGCAGTCATAGTTTTTATTTGATTGAAATGGATTTAAAAAGAGTATATATTATACTTATACTTTGCATTGCCATAAAGGCAATTGGCTGTACATTTGTTTCTGCCAGCAGAGTGTTGTCATAGTATAGTCGTTTTGACGATTTGATCTTAAATAGTTGTGCAAAACGCATGCAGCTTTAACAATTTGTCGTGAGTTTCGACCTTTTTGCTAACATAGGTATGTAAAAACATCGCGATTTTTGATCTAGCATACCGAAAGCATTTTCGACAACTCTCCTTGGTCTACAGAGTCGAATAATTTAGTCAATCTGAGGTCGTCTCTTGATAGCCGATTTGGGAAAGGGCGCAAGTATGAGCTTAAAGGAAATCCTTAATCTTAGTACACATGGCAGGTAATTCTTGGCAACCCGGCAATCTTTGCTGGGACGTTCATTGTACGCTGTTCTAAGCGACGTTCTGCAGCTGATTCTTCAAAAATACAGTCTTCGTTGTTTGTCCCGTGAGCCCCAACATGGACCGTAATGAATTTATAATGTTTAAACATGAAAAGTGGTCTGAGCCATTGTTCTTCGGGAATTTGATGGTAAGGTGTTTGCCATCAATGGTGCCCAAGCAATTTGGAAACCCCCAAAGATTCTTGAACTATCGTACAGAGGCTTCCCAGATTTCTTCTGTCGGCTCAGGCAGGTATATTGGCTGTAATTTTTGCCAAATGACTATGCACACTTCTTTTATAATCGAACTTACAGTCGAAAATCCGATTCTTAAATTGTGTGCGATAGTTTTGAAAATAAGTCTAATCATCTTTCAAGTTTCCTTCCTATTTCGTCTCACACCTGGTCTTTTTTTCTATTAATTACTACTTTTAACTATTTATAATCGCAATGAAGTACCATTTAATAATACTTAGGTAATCATTTTTTTCCGTATCCACCATTTTAAAAGTCAAAGCGACAAGCGCAGTCTGATCGCCACCGCTGCCTGCAAACCCTACACCGAATGCTGCGACCAATCAAAGGACGCGTTGATATGAACACGTTGCTTAAAATTTATACATGACGTCTGATCGCCACTGTTGAACACCTTGGTTTGGCTGAATCTTTACTGGTATTGTCGTCACGATCCCGAATTTAGAAGAAAATCAATGAATTACGCTTATCTCAAATTGCATTACTCGTGTAACCTTTTAAAGTATCGCTTAGCAATCAAATAAGTATCAGGTTTCACAATACCGTCCCCGGCTTAAACACCGTATCGTTAACATTCCGCAAGAGGGCAGAACTTGAGCCTATAACAAAAAGAAGCTGTTATGAACTTGTGTAAAACTCATAAGCGCTAACAGTTTAGAGTGGGTAAAGTATCTGCGAGTGTATGAGTCGAGCTGTGATGCCGCGCAGACGTGATCGGCATGCCGCTCAATCCCTGCGGGCAGACCACGCAATATTTGCTTTTTTTTATTACCGCATCCATATTTCAACACAAATACCCTCAACAATATTTGGAAGTACTGAGAGCACTAATGCGTGCGTGGCAGGAAAGATGATTCTCTATTCAATATTCTCAACGGGACTCGGCAAGCATACAATTGAATTGTTAATAGCAAACGAATATTTTGAACGAACCCTTCCTATTATGTACCTATCTCAGATGTTGAAAGCGATGAAATTAGACTGTTCCTGTTTATTTACTATACGCGGCTTCTTACAATAGACGTTAGAATGTTCACCATCCAAAATGGAGCGACAATATTTTTTTTCATATTTGTTGAAATTAAATTACTTAATATCTAAACTTTAACTTCTACTTAACATTAAAAAATACATCGTCCCTAGCGCCGCAGACGAGAATGGTGCCCAAAAGGGTGGCAGCAATGTCACGTTGTATAGCCAGGCTGATCCGTCGACCAAAATGAGAGCCAGTCAATATCGTTAGTTTATTTAATTCCCTTTTAACAAAAAAGAATTATTCCAAAGTATCTATCCTTTCTAAATATTTTCTGAATATTACAAAGAAAATATATGTATAAGGAATATAAAAAAAAAAACAATTCACTTTAAAAGTGTAATCATCTCTTTATTTCAAGATTTACTGAAAAGTAATATACAACTTTATTAAAATATTAGATAAATTAAGTAAATAATACAATTACAACTACATATTTAACTAAGCTAAAGCTACATTAAATTGAAAATACAAAAATACTTACAAGCCTTATAAATAGAAATATTCGTTTAAATCACTGCCTTGGGGTAAGGTGTCCAGAAGGCTAGCCACATTGCCACGGCCCACGCTGGTTGGCCAGGCTAATTCGTTGGCCTAGGTAATAAATTAATTTAAGATATTGTTTGTCTTCACAAAAGATATGCCACAAAAGAACTAAAAATGAATTTTCGTTAAATTTTCTACATTTATAAAAGGAAATTTGATGGGAGGGGCGCCCTGAACAGTAAGGACATGATTATGAAACGTCGCCGATGTGCCCTCCGCCTCGGCAAGTGAAGGCGCGTCGGGTTCATGTCGGAAAGTCTCTTTGTTATTTTGCCCTTGTTGACTAAGGACGGTTGCTTTCATCCAATCACTCACGCTACGTTCGCTGGCCACGGCTGGAACGCGGCTGCGAGCATCCTTGGCCTCCAGGACTGCCAAATGTGTCTGGTATTCAGCTTCAGCTACCGTCTTTTCTATTGCGTATTCAGCTTCAACTACCGCCAACTCCTCCCGTTTTGTACATCGAACTCCTCGATGAGACGGAGGTATTGCACCTCCGCCTCGAGCTTCTGTGCCCGCACGGTTGCGGACGAGGCTCTCGACGACGACGTTGCTGATGGGGGCACCTTTATTACGTGATTATGCACGGCTAATCATTGTAACTACACTTCTGACACCAAAAAATGTTGTGGACAGCACTCACTGCACTGTGTATAACTGTATGTACCTAATGTGTGTACACAACCGTGTACTTGGATATGGTAAAAAATAAAAAATCGGTTAAAAGAAAATCACTTTGATTTTGGCACTGAATCATTTTATCGCTGAGTAAAAACTACATAAAATTGTAATCAAGAACTTCATTTTCATAAAATATTTTCCTCTGTCGTTAAAATCCATTTTCAATTTTGGGATTAAGTTTCCGAGCCATTACTACCAAAGCGCTTTCGTGTCAGTAGGTACCTATAGTTACGAAACATTCAAGGTTTTGACACACTGGATGCGTTCAGCGGTCTGCGGTCGGTCTATATAAATTTTGTATGTAGATTGTAGGTCTGATCGTGACGAGCAATGAACGCAAATTTGTCATAACCGCTGACAAATTGTATTGCCCAGACCGCTGACCGATGGCCTTGACCAACATTGTTCATCCATGATGCGGGCATCGTTCGCTTCAAGCTGACCTGACCGCAGACCGCAGACCGCAGAATGCATCCAGTATGACAAATCCTTCAAATTATGACAATCTTAAAATGAAGAGATTGATTTAATGACTTTCCAGTGTTCGGCCGAGAACTTTGTTTCGAGAAGTGATAAAGCTCGAATCTGGGGGCACGGCAGTGCCCCCACCAAGTCGAGCAAAAAAGCGGCACGGCCGTACCATCCTTTTCTCGAAGCAATTCAGGCCATTTTCGACCGCCTGTAACTTCGTTGTGGATAAAACTAGAAGGCTGNTTTAGTATTGCCTGTTATTTAGCATTATTACAGTTTTTATTTTATCAAGATATACCGCTTAGTTTAAAAGTTATTACGTTTTCTTTACAATAAGTAATTGGAAGAAAAAAAATTCTATAAAAAATTAAAAAAAAATCTCAAAAATTTTTTGACCTCTTTTTTGTCGATAAAAATAGGTCTAGTTTCATCTATTTTCATATGTACACTTTAACGTGACTCACACTGTATATTGACTTGGCCATCGCATGAAAACACGTGTAAATTAAATTATTTAGTGCGATGGCCAAGTCAATAATTTATGTAAAACGTTAAAGATTTCCTGGCCTGGACTTGGTATTACATGGATCTCACAACTTTTTACCGTAGAACAACTGAGTTGCGAGACTTGGTTTTTTTGACAAGTATTGTTTTTGATGGGATTAAACTTACAGGGAGAGTACCTTAATCTGCATAAACTAATATCATAAAAAATATGTTAAGGGCAGCAAGTATGTTTATGGACTTTGGGTGTATTTACAAAACAAAACAGATTATTTTTATTTAAATTTTATTGCAAAACTTATGTATAAACTACACATCACTACATATAAAAATGTTTGTTATGACTATTGCACTTGCGTCGCTGCAACAAGTAAATAAATCTAAAATAGGTTTACGAGATTCCTTTCAAACACAATCCAATATAGGCATTGTGTCTCATATTCAACTGTGATGGTGGCGTGAGTGAGATAGAAGAATTAAGCCGATTTACTAGGAATCGTTTTGCCGAGTCCACGAGTTGAGCTGTGCTAGTTCTTATTGTTTTAAACCGTGCCTGGCTCACAGCAATACACACTTTGTAAACCTTTTGAAAGTGGCTGTCGACAGTGACTGAGTGAGTAGTTGGGTGGTACCTTATCGGCAGTGGTCCACTGGTCCACTTAACTAGAGAAGCAAGTGGCAGAATAGAGTTTTAATATCAGTGCTTACACGTCATAATCCTGAAACAGTTGTATTAAACCTTTTTTGTATCTCATGTTTAAATAAAGCTTTTTTTAAGTATGCAGACCTAATGTCTGCAAATCAATTACTTAAGCCACAGTTGTTTTATTCGCCTTTTGCGCGCCATCGACGATGTTATATTATTGTGAACGTCAAAACTTGAAACGAATTAAGATTGTTTTGTTCCAATTTCCCATTCGCTATTCTGTGCATTTATTAGCAATGTAGATTATAATGTCATTGGGATTATTACAAGAGTAGAATACAAATAGGTCTGTTGTACGATCTGGATCTGAATATTTCAGTGGTAAAGGCAAACACTGATACGGAACCGGGGCAGAGATAATGTAATGAACTGGTATTGGTATAGCCCGTTTGATTTATACTTACGGGGTGGTTCTTAACTCATTCTTCCTCATTGAGTTTGCTTTAGTTATTGTAGCTGCACCTGAGTTTTTAGTCATCAAATGTTTAGAACCAAAAGTAGATATCACCACCTTTACAACACTACTTAGCATATTTTGCGTTAATGTACAGACAAAACGATTGAATCTAATCATAGCCATACAGGTTATTGTGACTGTTCTGGTATTGACAGAAGACAATTCAAAATCAAACATCAAACTTTTTACCTCTTTATACTAAATTATTCGAAACATATTAAAGTATTCAATCTCAATTCAAGTTTCAATGACAGGCAAATCACAATACGATGATCTAATACAAGTTTTTTTATTTTGCACGGTAGGTAAAAGTTTAGTGACTGTTGTTGACGGAGATCCCGAACAGGGATTATCTTCGTTTAACTTGTCCGAATACTTAACTTGAGAATGAAAGCCAAAATTCTGTTTACATTATATCAAGTAATCTCTTGGAAAACGTTTTGAAAACAATATGGCCTAGTTATAATTATAAGAAAATTAAAATGAGTAATTGAATTCTATTTCAAATAACATTGAATAATTTTGATCCATTTTTGTAACAACACGGTTCCGGATCGTTAAACCAAATGCCTTGAACGCAGTGCGAAACGTTTTGAATAATAAAGAATAATATCTACCTAATAAGGTCATAGACAATATAAAGGCATTTTATAATAACTTCTTAAGAAATGAGTTCATTAACGCCATAAAATTTGTAGTAAAAGTTACACGTTGAACTTTAAATAAGCGGTAGTTCAAAAAGGATTGGATTGAAAGATCTATCATGAAAAGTTTTCCGTAAGTCTAGTTTAATTAGTGCGGTTGCAAGCCAAATTAAGGCAATGTGTTAGATACCCTCGAATTTAATACCTACTCACTGCAAGTCAACTTGCGTTAATTAACATTCAGAAGCGTTAACATTCAAAAGTAATTACAGTTGTTTACGTTTTAGAAGTAACTTCATACTGATGATTTGATTTCATAGTTAACGGTGTTTGCGAATGGATTTTCATTTTGTACAACTGTACATTAAAGTATTGGATGACTTAAATTAACTGAATTCTCATTTGATATTCTAATGGAGGTGAATAAATACTTGCATTTTATTTTCTTGAGTCAATATAACCTGGAATGATGAAGACATTCTATATTACAGCATTTTCTTGCGCCGTTTTCGTATTTTCAAGTCTTATTTGTCGCTGTCGCTCGTGCGAGCATTTCGCTATGACTAAGAGCTTTAAAAATACGGAAACAGCCTTAGGTAGTGAGTTAGGAACAAACTCTTCATATGGCGGTTTTGATAACTACTTAACTACAAACTTGTGTGGTGTGTGTGGGTGTACAAAAAAATTAATCGCTTGTAATATTCAAAATATCACGCACGACAGCCTCTATCGATATGTGGCACCGAAATTTTCACCGTTCCTTCAAATTATCTTTAGAACTGCGGAATTTTTCCACATAAACAAAATACGACATACGACTTTTTTCATATTTACATGATTAAATTGTATCTTTGTATTCTAACAGATTGCCTTTTGAAAATTCGTTTCCTGTTCAAAGCATTACAGCTTTCCGATACCAATTATTGTGTTGCGGGAGAGCAGCTTTCCGATGCCATTTATAATATTATNTGGACGTCTTTGAAAATGAAATGAAACGAACGATTTATATACATTCATTAATTATCTTTGTACATTGTCACTTATCCTGTTATTATCAACAATAGTATTATCACTATCAATGACGTCGTTGTTATTACTAGTAACATTATGATCATCATTCTCAGTCGCATCATTCATGTTTACATCAACGTTATCATTACGATTTCTAGAGTTGAGCTCTATAGAATTATTTTCATCCTCATTACTGCTTTCATTATCGCTACTATCAAAGTTAGTGGAGAATGTTAACCAAGGTTGAATTTTGTCTATTGCAACTATGGCTTCATAACGGCGATTATTCTTTTTAGTTAGTGGTGTATCCTCTATGAGAAACCTATCGTTTGGGAGTATTTTAATAATGCGGTACGGGCCTTGATATTTTGCTACTAGTTTTTTTGATTTACCATCATTACAGTTAACAATCCGTTCAACACGAACTAATTGTCCTTCTTTATATGTCTGTCCACTTTTCCTAGTTTTATCAAACCTTAATTTATCTTTCGCCTGCTGTTCCCTTATTCTTTCCCCAGCGACCTGTCGCAAACCTGGCAATTCTTCTGCTGAAGTTACATGAAGAGTATCGTTAATTACGTCACTAAGAATTGCTTCAGAAGTATTTATTAGTTTGTATCCAAATAAAAGTTCAGAAGGACTTTTTTTTGTGGTGCTATGAATCGCTGTGTTCATACCGATTTGTATATCAGGGATATACTCATCCCAAGTTTTATCATCCTTACCATGGGATTTAGTGGCAAGAGCATCCAGTATGGTTCTATTGAACCTTTCCACCTGGCCGTTCGCTCTAGGTGAAGCTACCGCATTGAGTATATGTTTTATGCCTGTCGTTTTAACAAACTTCTTGAATATTTGCGAAGTAAAACAGGACCCTTGATCAGTTATAAGCCGTGTAGGAGTCCCGAAATAACTAATATGTTCCCGGAAGACCCTTACTGTAGTAATTGCTTTTGTATTTCGCACGGGGGTTATATTTATGAATTTTGTGAAGCCATCTACAATGACCAATAAGTAGGAATTTCCCCTTTTACTCCGTACAAAAGGACCTAAATGATCGGCATGAATAGTGTGAAAAGGGATTTCCAATCTGGAAATAGGGTGTAACTCACCGGCACGAGGCCCACCTTGTGCCTTATGATAAGCACACTCCAAGCAGGCAGAAACGTACTTTTTTACAAAGCGGCGTAACTTAGGGAACCAATAAGATTATTTTATGCGAGACAGTGTTTTTTCAAACCCGAAGTGCCCTACATCGTCATGGTTCATTTTTAGTATTTGCCACCTTACAGATTTAGGGACGACCCATCGAAGTTCGTCATTAACTTTGCGATAAACGCGATTGTCTTTTAAAGAATAGTTATTCAATACATCCTGAATTTTGTCAGATTCGGGATTAGAAAGAATATTTTTGATGGAATTAATTTCATCATCCGCTAACTGTACAGTACTAATCCAATCGTCCTTTTCTACAACTAACACATCCAAGACATGCGTTTCAGAGATAGCGGGTGCAACTGGGTTTCGGCTCAATGCGTCTACGTGTGCCATACGGGCTCCCGGTCTATATTCGAATCTACAGTCGAACTCCTGCAGTTGCACCCACCATCTTGCTATCCTGGGGATCAAGTCACGTTTTGTCATTGTAGTACGTAATGCATTGCAGTCCGTGTAGATCTTGAAAGGTATGCCAAGTAAATAAACTCTAAACCTAGATAAAGATGCTATGACTGCCAATGTTTCAAGTTCAAAAGAATGCATCTTTTGCTCATCTGATGTAGTTTTACGACTATAGAAAGATATTGGTCTTAATATGCCCTCAGCATTTCTTTGGAAAATTATGCCAGCAACGCCTATCTTGCTAGCATCAGTGTGCAACTCTGTAGGTAGAGATGGGTCGTACAATGCTAATATAGGGCGTTGGACCAAAGCATTTTTCAAAGTTTGAAAGGCATGATCTTGCCTATCGGTCCATTGCCACGGGGAGTTTTTCTTTAATAAATCAGTCAAAGGGCTCGCAATAATTGAAAAATCCTGAACAAATCGTCTAAAGAAACTAGCCAATCCGATAAACTGACGAACCTCATGCTGGTTCTGAGGCTGTGAAATGTGGCTTCGGTTTTGCGTAGGCCAGGACGAATTCCATCCGAACCTACTTCAAATCCAAGATAATCAATCTTTTCATAAAAGAAGTAACATTTTGACATCTTTAGTGTCAGTCCCCCAGCACGTAGCAAGTCTAAAACCTCTTGAAGACGTGTTAAGCCTTCGGCGAAGTCATGTGCTGGGATCAACACATCATCCATATATACCATTGCACATTTAATTTTAGCTTCTGCTAAAATTTTGTTGATGGTCCTTTGAAATACGGATGGTGCGTTGACGAGACCAAACGGCATTCTAAGGTACTCGAATTGTCCATCTGGAGTAACAAATGCAGTTTTGTGTCTAGAGTCTTCTTTTATAGGAATCTGGTAATAACCGGACGCCAGGTCAAGAGTAATGAAGAATTTATGCCCCGAAAGAAGGTCTAACTGATCTTCTACTCTGGGCAAAGGATAGTGATCTTTGATTGTTTTGCGATTTAGAGCTCTACAGGGTGGAAACGATAAGTGATCTCACTCGATTATTTCTAAAGTATATAAGATATCAATAAACTNAATGGAGATTCCACCCCTAGAGTTCCTTCTGATAGAGACCCAGTGCCTTTATCAGAAGTGGGATTCGAAGGGCACTATTCAAAGGAGATAAATCTTTCAGCATGCACACCTACGCTACGCAACTCATCAAGTTTTACATGGAGGATGCTGACTCAGACATTGAGAGTTGGTGCAGGTTGCCGGAAATTATTGTGATTGACGTAAACTCGAAGGGCCTTTGAGTGAGTTGAGGGGGCCGGGCCAAGGGCGCCCGGGCCACCCTGTTGCCGTGGTTGAACGGGCTGTTTACGCCCGGGACACGCTGATGTAATGTTTTGGTTTCCTGGTCGACGGGGCCTCACCCCGGGCCAGCTGTAATGTTTTGGTTTCCTGGTCGACGGGGCCTCACCCCGGGCCAGCTGCAATGTTTTGGTTTCCTGGTCGACGGGGCCTCACCCCGGGCCAGCTGTAATGCTTTGGTTTCCTGGTCGCACGGCTGCATGCCTGGATCAGCAGTAATAGTGGTAGTTGGGTTTGAGGTAACTGGTTGAAGGAGCCTTGGCTTAAGCTTTGCGCATCGGGCCATGTTACCTAAACTCTGGTTTCCTGGTCGGGCCTGACGCCCGGGCCAGCTGTAATGTTTTGGTTTCCTGGTCGAAGGTGCCTCACGCCCGGGCCAGCTGTAATGTTTTGGTTTCCTGGTCGGGCCTGACGCCCGGGCCAGCTGTAATGTTTTGGTTTCCTGGTCGGGCCTGACGCCCGGGCCAGCTGTAATGTTTTGGTTTCCTGATCGAGGGTCATCACGCCCTGATCAGCTGTATTTATTGTGATTCTACGATCTGATATTCGCACGCTCTGTAGTCAGGAATGGACGAGCTGTAATAATGAGAAATTGAATGTTTACAGATGGACAAACCCTGGACTAAGCGCAAGAGGCCGTGCGATAGTCAGGCTGGCCGTGTCGGCGCCGGACACAGATGCTGCAAATTATTATTGATGATTATAAATAGTACCAATCTTAATATTATGTTATCTGTATAAATCTGTAGAGCGGAAGGTTTGTGATTCCTAAACGTAACACCCGACTAATGCGCAGAAAAAGGTAACTGTCAATCAGTTTTGTCATGTCAAGTGTGAGCAAGCGGCTGCGAGGTTATCTTTGAAAGCGTGTTGAGTTTGGTGGAACGTTAAATTGTAGGGAAAGTGATTGTCAACCATCTAACATATTATCTCCTTGCCCGCTAACCCACGCCAATGGAGATTCCACCCCTAGAGTTCCTTCTGATAGAGACCCAGTGCCTTTAAATGCATTTAACATAGCAAAAACAACACCGGCCATTTTGGAGGAAAAACAAAGTTACCATTTATCTTAAATAGTAATTTCTACTACTCTATTATGTAAATTATAACAAAAAATGTCACCGTTCAGTTTAAAATTAAAACAAATTAATTTCATTTTAAAAAAAGTTTTCACAATGTAATTAACAATATTCTCAAATATATTTTAATTAAGAAAAAAATGAAAATATGAAGGAAACAGGAGCAGCGACATCTAGAGCGTTTTAGGGTAGTTAAAAAGTATTTGAATTTATCCACCGATGTCGCTGTTTGGAAGCAAGTTTCACTTGGAGGACCGTAGTATGGAAGTTTCCGCACCCTGTTGAATACACAGTTGAATACTCTTTAATCTGTGAGTTGAATGT